AATGGAACCTATCTTCGATATGATCGTACCTAGTTATTCCTTACATGATAGATCATGAAAGTAGACTTTGAGTTAATGTTGAAACTAGACTAATAATTAGTCGCAATAAAGATTAGACTAAAACTTAGCGATAATAATGCTAGGTTTCGTCGAAGGAAAATAGAATCATTAAAAGTGAAGCGTTGCCTGATTTGGAATCATCACTTTAACAAGTGAGTGCATAGTTACTTTCATATTACACATAGATATGAAGTATTATATATAAATTACATGCTATGTGTGCATATAACATGTATACTTGCATATATGAAGTATTTTATACACTTTTAAATAATTTAAATTGTGTATGAATTTTATATCTACGAATATGTTGGGTAAAACATGGGTAAATGAATGATGAGAGATGAAAGATGATATAAGTGAACATTAGCAGCTATAGACTTAGTTCTTACTAAATAACATCGACAACTATAGACTTAGTGTCTATTGGATAAACGTTGGCAGCTATGGACTTAGTACCCGTTAGATGAACATTGGTAGCTATGGATTTAGTACCCGACAAAAATGAACTTTAGCAGCTTGGAATTAGTGCTTTATGAACACGCATTGACAACTATGGACTTAGTGCATGTTGTATAAACCATGGAAGCAATGGACTTCGGATTGAATGGATATAGGATAAATGATTCTTAAGGTAGACCCTTAAGAATAAAGAAGATATTGGAGATGGGTAATTGGGTTAATTGTTTGATGATTAAACATAATAATTATATTATTGTGGGTTGAAAACCCTATATACTCACCAGGTTTCCCAACCTGACCCACTCAATTTATTTGTATCACAGGTGTCGATATGAAATTACATTACACTGAGAGATTAAGAAGATGTAAATCACTAGTGATAATGAATGTAAGTTATGTTTATGCTTATGTTTCTGTATTGACGATGACGTCCCAATGTTTTAAAAATGAATAAAATACATTTCTTCATAAATGCTTGATAATGTATTTATCATGTTTTTCTGGGAATAAATTCCGCAAAACTTTTCTTTAAAAGGTTTCTCTGATTTTCAAAATAAAGCATAACCAAATCGGTTTTTTCTGGCCGTGGAGCTTGCCGCTATAATGGTGTCGGGCTGAGAAGCCAGGCGACTCAAGGCAAGGGTGTTGAACATCGCTTGTGGAGCTTGCCGCTATAATGGAGTCAGGATGAGAAGCCAGGCGACTCAAGGCAAGAGTCTTGAACCTTTCATGCGGATCTTGCCGTAATAATGGAGTCGGGCTAAGAATCCAAATGACTCAAGGAAACAGTACTGAACCTTGTAGGTTTGGGCATAGCGGCCGACAATCTATGTGTCCAGCCCGGGTGATCAGTTCGTGCTGAAATGGCACCTGATGCTTTGCTGCACCATTAGCTGTATTGACATTTGATGCCTCGTCTTCTAAGGACTTTGTCGAGAGTTATGCAGCGAGGCTATCAAGATTTGGACCATGATGCTACTTTTCGATCTGGAATATTAATGCAACCTCAGGGATGCACTATCATGCATAGTATCAGCTCTTCATGTACTTTAACTCCACCCCTTCAGAATAACAATCACTTCTTCATGGTGTCGTACCAACCATTCCCCCTCCTTCTTAGAGAAGGTGAAGACTGGGAATGATAGATACGTAGTTGTTGGAAACTGGGTGACACAGCTGTTGAAAAAACCAGGAGACACAAGTACTAACAAAAACTAGGTAGTGCGGCTGCCGAGAGTTGGGCAACACAACTGGTGGGAGTCAGACAATGTAACTACTGATGATTGGGCTTTGCAGCTGCTAAGTTGGGTCGCATGTCTGCTGAGGACCGGGTTGCGCAACTATTGAGATCCAAGAAACGCAATTGCTGAGAGCTGCATAGTGAGACTAGCGGGGGCCGATCATCACGAATGGTGAGAGTTGCGGAGCGAGACTTCTTGAAGTTGGTCAACACGGTTGGTGAGGGCCGGGAAGCACAGTTGCTGAGGGTTATTTCGAAGTGCATCACGAGTAGTAGTAGCATACTACTCTTCCCCCTCCCCCCTTTTTTTTAGAAGTGTCAAATGAACCCGACTGCAACACAACTTCTCAAATTGGATTTTGCTAGGCTGAATCGCAGCAAGAAAGTGTTGAGTGTCTCTGACTGGAAAGAATTATCTTGCACTACTAGCCCATATTTATTTGTTGGAGTAGCCCATAAAAGCAAAGACTTGAAAGAAACCATAAATAGAAATGTTTGAGCCCATTTTATAGGTTGTTGGCCCAAACACTTTCCTTTTTTTTAAAGAACGTCGAGTGGTTCGGGCCGTACCGTGTTTTCTAAAGTTAGATTTTGTTGGACGGAATCTCAGAACATGTACTGCGACTGATTTTTAGGGCAACCTAACAAGATTGTTGGAGCCTAAAATAAAATTTCAGTCCCTTAGGCCTATATATTTTTTTAGATGGGCCAATCTTGTAAAATCCCAATTAGGGGAAAACCCAAATATATTTGTTGTAGCCCAAATTCATGTTATCTTTTTACTTTTTTGTGTATGCGAAACATATGAGAAATGGTAAGCCTAAGATAATCGAAACATAAAGTGAAGGGGCCTGTGTAAGGGAAAATGCCAATAACATTGTAGGAGCCCATTTGGAGAAGAGTTGTTAGCCCAATTCCTTTTTTCTTTTGAATGTGCACGTGAGGATCTACGAGGTCACAACAGAGAGACGCGTTGAGCCGCCCTAGGAACTGTCCCCCGGGAGTAGACTCCAACGATCAAGTTAGATCAGCTTGATGGAAGAGATGGTTCTTCATATCTGGAGAGAACCATCTTGGTGCTGGTGGTGGTGTATGGTGGTTGATAGTGGCACGTGGTGGCTGATCTACCCGACCGGAGTATAGGGCGGCGATTGAGCCGCCGGGGAGAGATACCCCTATATGGAGGAGATATTGTTCACTTTATAGGGGACAATTAGGTCAAGGGGAATTAGGCCAGGCCTTGGGCCAACCCAATTCAGGCCCAACTAGCAAGGAGTTGGGCAAGGCCGCCCGAAGGCACCGGGCGGGGCTGGCGGGCGCGCACCAAGAAAGGCAGACAAGGGGGCGCCAGACAAGAGAGCACCATGCCGAGCCGACAGGAAAGTCCCCAACAAGGTTGGCAAGGGAGTCCCCAGCAAGACTGACAAGAGAGCGCCAGGCAAGGCTGGAGCGCCAAAGCTTTGTAGGCCATGCTAATGGACCATATCTCATCATTTATATTGTCGGGTTCCTATTAATGAGATCTTCGATTCTCATTTAGATTTTTTCCGCTAATAATTAACCGATTTAAAAGTCAGTATCAGTGTTGCACAATGTTGCACTGAAACTTATAAAAACCATATATAACTTACTCTTATGAAGTCAGATTTGAGCGTTCTCTATATGTAGTCTCTCGGTTTTATGACTACTACGAGTCTTGCTTAGATTACTTAACCTAATAAGCAACCTATCTCCAATTCACTATTTGCGATACACTGTTTGATCGTGAAACTTTCAGAAGTTTATAACTTTTGCATGTGAAGTTGAATTTGAGTGTTCTTTATGTATACGAGATTCATATCGCAACTCCTATATTTCCTGGCAAGATTATTTATCCTGAATAACCTTTTATCAAGATTGTCATTTCATTGCATATCGATAAATTACTAAAATGAATTTATAATACGTAGCCTGCAACGCGCATGACTAAGGATAACCCTAATTGATGACTTATATTTATAATTATTATCTATTATATCTTAAATATCTAGCCCGAAGTTGCGGGCGTTACGGTGGTGCAAAGAATTTGGCGCCGGAGAGATGGATGAGGTGAATGACGAGATGGTGGTGCTCCAAATGCATCTAGTCTTCTCACTCCTTTGGTTCCACCAGAACCTTAAGTCGTCAGAATTCTCACTTGCTGGAACTAAAATCCTCTTGGCCGAAAGTCTTCATCGCCGCGGGTGGTGAAGGAGATAAGTTTTCTAAAAATCTAAAGCACATGCTTTTTGTGAGAGAGGTTAAGTGGCTTTCTCTTTTGTTTTTTATTTATTTTAATCAAAAAATTAATAAAATTAATATAAAGCTGAAAAAGAAAAATATAAGAACAAATTGAAAAAGAAAAATATAAGAACAAATTAAATCCACGTTATAAAAAGTTCAAAACCAAGTCAAACATAACAAAATAATAAAAATTTTAGATTTTTGGTGTCTTTTCAAACTATTTTGGACAAAATTACAAAAATAATGATTTTCATCTAACAACAGGAACATTTTTACAGTTTTGTCAAGAAAATATAAACCATTCTACTGTACGGACGAGTAATACTACCAGTAATACTTTGAAAACACACACGCCATTTATTATTATTTTTTAAATGTTTTACCGAACCATACGGACCATTTCTGCAATGGGCCTCTGCTTTTTCTTTTTCTTTTTTTTTTTTTAATTTTTTTTTCTTTTAATTTTGAAATATAAAACTATAAGAAATTATGAGTAAGTTTCACAAATCAGAGATAAATGTACTCAAACTCGCGACACCGTTGGGTAACTGTGCCTCTGAATTAAATCCCACTGCTGTACTGTGGTGTCCAACAATTTGACAATAACTACCCTCTTTTTGTTGTCCCAAATCTATGTGCATAATATCGTTTTGCTGTTCCTTTTTTTTTTCCTCTAATAAACAACTATAAATATAATGGTTTAATAATTCAAAAACTATTATAATCAATGATAATCATTTACTATTGGTTGGTGGAAAATTGAAAACATATGGATAACGGATCACATACAGCCCCCACCCCTTTCCCTTGCTTTCAAGCTTTAGCTTCAATCTAACAACAAACTCCATCACGATTCACGAATATATCAATCAACATGAATTCCATGTGCCAAAATCATGGCTACGTAAGTCCAGATATAGAGTAGCTAGGATGCATGAACACGTCTCTTTGACTATATATAGATTCTGATGTTGATACTCGAAAGATCGAATTTAATTAAAATATTAAAAACGTACCATATATAACTTCAAATCCTAGTATATGAAATACCAAGTTACTAACATCTAAACAAAACACACACACACAAACAAATTTAAAGCATGCACTATTTTTTTTTTTCCTTTCTTCTTATAAAGTAATAATTAAAGCCCACAATCATTTCTTGATCAAATCAAAACACGATGGAACCATGGAGGCTGGTTGAGTGATCTATCAACTTGTCTCAGTTGTTTTTCTACGCTCAAAACTCTTGAATTTTCTACTGTAATTCTGCTTTTATGACTCGAACTTGTTGAAGACGATGAAAAACTTGGCATGGAATCTGAAATATTTAACTGTGTCGGATTGTGATTGTTCCTCCTACGTGTGGGGCCCAATGTGAGCTCGATTTCACTCTCGTCTTCAATCTCATACTCGTTGTTACTTGCTGGCTCATGTTCCAAATCTTGGGTTTGAAGCTTGTTGATGTTGAAATTGTAATCGTTTTGATAATCGAAGCTTATGCTTCCATTTTTCAAGCTCCATGTTTCTTGATTCTGCATGCTTCTTTGCATGTTCTTCATCAGCAGCCTTTGGATTTGATATAGCCTATGAAGCTCATATACCTTATATATAAAAGAAAATAAAACAAAACTGATTGACACATGGTAATAATAATAATCGTCAAACAAAACTACTTACTTAACTTTGATGAGATATTAATTAGTTATTACCTGCTGTTTGAACGTTTCTTCATGCTTTAACATGGCCATCTTCATGCATTCCATATCATAGGGTAATGGTAGACGCAATTTCTCCATTGATCGATTTCTTCTTGTTCTTCGATTTAGCATAAAAGTATCGGTTTATCTCAATCATCCAAATAACGCTTCAAGACGCATTTCCTACACATTTTTTTTGCATTACAAATTGACAAAATTTTATTCTGGAATCTTTTTCGCATACTTAAAGAGATTATGGGTTTGAATTTTGTTCTTGAAATACCAATAAATTACTAGCTAATAGGTGAGCGAATTTGACTTTTGTGTATAAGATCAACCATACTAATTACTCTCTCTCTCTCTCTAAGCCAAAAAAAAATGAATACAAAATCATGATCATGTAGATATAATTTCAACTTATATACGAAATATTTAAGTAAAAGGAATTCTTTTTCTGATTTTGGGTTTAAATCTACTGATGAAGGAGAAATCTTCACATCGCATATGTAAATTCTCGGAGTCTTCGAAACATGGGAATTAAAGAAAAGAAGAACATCGTTCATCAAGTTGACTTTTGAATGTCAAACAGGTTTACGTTTAACCTCAAAATCAACGAGAACAACCGATGCATAAGTTAGCTTAATTACAAGAAAATGATTAAAGCTATAAACGATACCGATACATGAATGAAATGATCGAGAATGGATTTAAATTTGAAAAAGGTATTTACTTGGATTTGAAGATCAAAAGTTCGACTTTTTTTTTTAATCTTTGAGTGGTGTATGAGTAGGAAGAGATTAGAGAAGCTTTATATATTTCTAACCTGTTAGGGAAGTCCCATGTGAAGTAATCTCAAGTCAAGTGAAGATGAAGATAGAAAGCAAACAGTTGGGACTTGTAGTGTGTGTTTTAAGTACTGCTTTGATTTAACAACTCTGCACCATAAAATTTTATTAATATATATATATCTTTGAGGATTTAAGATTCTCTTTCTTATTTTATTATATCTCCATCTAGCTATATTTAATGCAAGTTATATAAAATTTGATTGAAGAATTTGAGTTGCTTTAGGTGATTTGAAATTCCTTCAAAACAATTTAAAGGTTTTTAAGAATATGTCAATAAAGGAACGATGTAAAATTAATGTGTTTTCTTTTTGTAGTTAAAATGACTACAAGTATGATGGAATGAGAATAAGAATTTATACCAAAATGGCAAAATCAAAAGTCCTTGACATGTTTAAAAGATTTCCAAATTCTTTTTTTTGTTTCACTCCCTTTTATATATTCATATTCTTTAACCAAGCTTCTGTCCCAAGAAAAATTACAAAAAAAAAAAAAAAATGATCTATATAACTTATGCTCATTAGCCAAAAACCACCTAATTATTAATCATATATATGTATAAAAACTGTTTTTAGAGAATGATTTAACAAAGTTTTTTTCTTTTATTAAACAAAATTCATATTTTAAATGATCAATAATCCGAAGTATATTACATCATACTAATAAAAAAACACACACACAGAAATCAAGGAATGTTGGAATTGTATTTGGAGCCAACGCAACAAATCCTTGTTTTCTACTGGCCAAAAGGTTCTAAATTTTGTGCAAGAAATACACGCATGTTTTAGGGGTTTTTTTTCGTTTTTTTTTTTTTTTTTTTTTTTTTTTTACAATAATAGAAAAATAACAATTATTAAATAGGAATTTTTTTATATTATATATATTCTATAAATTAAGAAAATATAATATTAACACAAACTCTTTGATTCTCAATCAAACATTCAAAAATATATATTAAATTTAAATATCCATAAAGACAATTTATAAAAATACTTGAAATTATATTTTAATTATTTCCATAGAGACAGATGCCCACTGCGTTGTGTCGGGCCTCACCTGCACATACCTCCATCATTGCATTTTTTTTCTGAAATAAACCAAATCATAACAAAAACTTTTGTGTTGTTTTAGGCTTTCCGTTTTCACGCGTAATAGCTGACATGTCGGACTTTTCCGCGCATGGGGCGTAGGTGTTGTGCGACGTGGATCTGGCTACGAGCGACCACCAGGAGTTTGATTGGTTAAATGCCGTTTGACTGTTTCTTTTGTGTAGATCGAATGTATTGACTGGAGAGTGTAGTTTAGATGTAGTTAAATGGATTTAAAAGAGGTGAATTGAAGCTTTGAATTTTGATAATGGTCAATGACCCGTTTTACAGAAAACGGGTGAAGAAGGTAACCAAAAAGGCAAACGGGTTTAAAAGCACTATTCATTTACTGAAGTTACAGAAAGTTACAGTTATGGTCCCTGAAATTGTGTCTCTTAATCACATCATACCTTCTAATTATTTTTGAATTAAATTTAACCCTCAACTATATATATATATATATATATATATATATATATATATATATATATATATATATATATATATATATATATATATAATTTTTTTAATAGTAAAATGATTATTTAAGTTTAAAATTATGTATTTTTATTTAATATAATAATAATAATAATATAGAATAATAATCATTTCTATGGTATAGTAATAGTCTAGTAGTAAATATATAATAGAGATGAAGTGATATTTAACCGTTTTCGGTTAGTAATGATCATACTTTTTAGCCTCATTACATCTTTTATTATTTATTTGAAAACTTCAAAATATTATATATATATAAGAAAATAATCTTTTCAGATCCAATAAAAGCAAAAGATTTTATTAAACATTTTATATATATATATATATATATATATATATATATATATATATATATATATAAATAAATAAAGGAAAATTTTGGTAGTAAGATGAAAATTTTTTTATATACATATTTTTTTAGCAAACAAACAAAAATAAACTACTAGATGATTAAAAAAAGACAAAACTGCAAAAATGGTCCCTGTGGTATGCATTTTTTTGGGGTTTTAGTCCAAACCTCGACTTTTTTGGTTTCATGGTCCTTTTGAGCTAGTTTCGTTGCGTTTTTAGTCCCTCTAAATAGTGAAATGACTGTAATACCCTTGGGGTATTTATTTTTCATTTTTATTTCAATTTTTTAAATCTAATAGTTATTTTAATAATTAAAAAAAGGGACCCACCTCTCCCTCTCTCTCTCTTTCTCTTTCTTTTTCTCTCTCTCTCTCTCTCTCTCTCTCTCTCTCTCTGATGAAGATGAAGTTTCTTCAATCTTTGAAAGCTTCAATCTTTAAATGCTTCATATTTGTACTATCATGTTGCAACAAAAATGAGCTCATCTCAAGATAAAAACATCTAAACTCATTATAGAAAAACAAATCATTGGCTAGATTCAAGAACAACACACATACACATATTAAATCTAGATTTATGGGTTTGTTCTTCAACATACATACTCAAGAAAACAAAATTTGAATAATATATTTGATTTTCTGGGTTTGCTCTTCAACACATACAAGATTTTGAATTTTAAAACCGAATACATCGAGTCCGAAAAATGCTTTTTGAATCTGGAACTAAAACATGATTTCATCGTCTAGATCATCATCTTCACCCAGAAGCTTGAGATCTCAAAGAGAAAGTACTCTACTCGAGTTCATATTCCCCTTGTTTCTTTTTTTTCAACATATTCCTCAACTTTGCAGGACACGAACCTTCAATCAAGAAACCAAAATCCTGAAATACCCACTTTAAAATATCCATCAATGGATTTTCCAAGTTCAATAGGTCACCATATTAGAACCAAGCATTTATGAGGATCATCAATCAAGCTTCCACAACAACCAAATTGAAAAAATTATAGGATCGACCAACCTGTTTTCTAGATCCATTCACCAGATGATGCTTCGTTGTGTGGCTCCAATATCGACCCATTCCAAATGTCTACCCTCGTCTCCAATCTGACCCATCCAACGCCTCTAGTCTCTTTCGTTCCTTCATTGTTTGATCCATTACGAGTGTCTTTGTTTTGTGTATCTGTTGAAGAAGATGAACATAATATCGTTTATCTCTACTGTCACGACCCATTTATCCCCAAAAAAGAGTTGTGTTCTCCCTAACAATCCATCAAAATCAATTTCAGTTTCAGTAATCTAAAGATTAAAAAACAGAGCAACAATCACTACAACTCAATTTCTCCAATAGTCATCACCGATTCAAACTGATAGAATCGAACTCTCTAGAAAACACATTATTCAAATCGGGTCCTCTGAACCGCCACCTCCATGACTGCAACTGTGTGATTTTTATTTGAATTGGAAGACGATTAATTATAGGAATATGAGATTCATGTATGAATCTGAAAACACAGCAGCCTCCTATAGGAAGAACATGAGTTTTCCATCCTCCGACGATTCATGACATAGAGGCGGTGGTGGTGTAGGCTTTTAGGAGAGAGAGAGAGAGAAAAAAAAAGAGAAATGTAGGTCCAATTTATTTATTAAATTTCTTTTTCATTTAAATTAATTAGAAAAAAACATTAAAGAAATATCAAAAGGGCATTACAGTCATTTCAGTTTACCGAGGGACCAAAAACACAACGAAACTACCTCAAAAGGGCCACCAATCCAAAAAAGTCGTGATTTGGACTAAAACCCCAAAAAAACGCATACCACAGGGACCATTTTTGCAATTTTGTCTAAAAAATAAGGTGATTCATAAGAAAAAATTTCTTAAAAAACACATTCATGATTTATTTTTAAGTAAATTAAGAAAAAAATTCACTTTTATGATAATTTTAGTTAATATCAAGAAAATCATCGTAAAAATGAATCGTCAAGATGATTTTTTGGGAATTTTTTCTGTGAATTATGTTATTTTTTTATTCATCTAGTGATTCAGACGTTTTGTTCGCCAGAAAAATATTCTGAAAAAAAAAAAAAAAAACTTCTTATCTTCTTACCAAATTTTTTACCGCATTTGTAACGTCCCAAAGATACCGAGAAAATTTTTGATTTTTAATTAAGTCAAAATCATTCATTCATTATTCCAAAATATGATCAAAGTGAACGTTCTCAAAACATCAGAGTAAAATCATAAATAATCATTACGAAAGAATCTCCAAGTAATGAAGTGCGATCAAGTCGGGTCCTTCCTTTTGAAACCAGATGTACCTGATAACATTTAAAACATAAACCATAAGCATAAATGTTAGTGAGTTCTCCACGGTACTACATACCAAACATATAACTGGGCCTAGCCCTGGGGTATATTCCAACCCAATATACAATCATGGGCCTAGCTTTGGGGTCTCTTTCAACCCATTACAGACTCATGGGCCCAACCTAGGGTTTATTTTAACCTAATCATACAATAATGGACCCAACCTTGGGGTTTATTTCAACCCAACCATACAAACATGCAAGAGTCATAAAGATAGCTAGCATTCTACATACACAATTGTAACACCCTGTTTATTTATTAGATAAATAAATAAAGTAATGAACGAATTGTAGCCCTAAAATATATAATTGAAAGTTTAGGGGGGGTTAAAAATATAATTTCCGAATTAGTTATAATGAAATTTTGAAGTCAGGGGCTCCGTGGTAATTATTGGAACTTAAGTTGAAAAGAATGTGAGGAGGAGGGACTAAAAATGTACATGGCTAAAGTTTGATCATCCGGACCTAATTTGTAAAGGGTTTTAGATGGTGGGGTTCACATGTTAACTTATGGACTGATTGTGAAAGGATTTTGGATGCTAGGGGGCTGCTTTGTAAATTAAGGCCTAATATTGAAAAGAACTCGAATGGGAGGGACCTATCTTGTCATTTTGGAAAACTTATAAGTAGGATCAGGTATAAAGGGTTATGAAACCCTAACCCTAAAGAAAACCCTCCAGCCGTCACCCCTTATACTTCCCGTTTACAGTCGCCACCTCTCCATCACCTTATGCTCCCTTCGTCGTCGGCGTTGTTATCACCCAACTCCAACCCGTTTCCGACCAGCAACGATGGCAAGCAACCACGGGATGGCCGCCACCCTCATCTCCTTTCCTCCAC